CAGGAACTTCTCGTTCTGTACCTCATAAAAGACCTAGGACATTATGGTTGTGAGGAAAGTGAACGGCCGAGGTGCAAACCTTGGTTGTAACTCCTGCGGTAGGGGACCTAAGTGGTCTCTGACGTCTCTCCTTCTTTTCAAAGGGCGGTCTATATCTCTTCGTGGAGATCTATCTCTACTTTTCTCTTTTCTAGGTCTTCGGTCCTTCTTCTTTTCTTTTTCCTTGTGCGTGGACGAGCTCCCTACCTTAGAAATGAGCACTTCCTCGTCCTTGATGTACTTTTCTGCCTTGACAATGATTTCTACCATACTGGCTTGTGAGTTTTTGGAGATGGAGAACATTAGGTCCTTTGACTGGACTCCCAACCCAACAATGAAGGCAGTGATGGTGATGAATTTCTAATCAGGGACGTCTACTTTCAGAGTCTCTGAATTAAATTTCTGAACATAGCTTCGTAGGTTCTCATTGGGCCCTTGTTTCACATTCAATAGGTGGTAGTTTGGCTTCTGATAAGTCCGAGCTCCTATGAAGTGCTAAACAAATGAGACGAAGAGCTCTCTGAAAAACGAGATGGATGCCGGAGTCAGCCTGTTGAACCATGCTAAGGTTGAACCTTTTAGAGTGATGGCGAAGGCTCGACATCGCACTGGGTCTTAGTACCCATGCAACTCCATTTGATTTTTATAAGTGTTAAGGTGATCCATGGGATCTTTCATCTCATCTAAGGCCTCCATCTGGGGCATCCTGAATTTTTGCCGAAGTGGAAAGTGCAGCACTTGTGCGATAAATAGAGACTTAGTATGTTGGACTAAGGCATCCATGGTCACTAGAGCTTTGCCTTTTCACAGCCTCCTTTATGTGGCTAAGCTCCTGTTGGATGTCTCTGAAGTGTTACTCCCAATATTGTTATTTCCCTTCCTGCTAATATAAGGGAAATTCATTCTTATTATTTTCTCTATTTTGACTTTGTAACTCCTCATTGTCCTCATTCCTATGAACTCGACGATGGGCATTGCCCACTGTTTGACTGCGCTCATCTACTTCGATGACGTCTCTCGGAGGGTTGTTGTTCCCTTTGAGGGGGATCGCCTTGGGCTGGTTGCGCCCTTTGGGGATGCTGGAGGAGGTCGAGTAATTCCTCGTTCTGCTAGAGGGAACGCTGATTGGCTAGGCAGAAGACCCCTAGTTCGTTGTCAAGTATGGGATCCACCATAGGGGGGATTGACTTCATGAGTAGGCAAGAAATCACGAGGTTTTTCTTGCTGTCTTCCAGTGGTAGTTTCTTGTTGGTTCTGTAATCGAGGAGAATTCATTTGGCTTTTACTCATGTTGCGTGTAGAAACCATCAATTACTGAAGAGAATCAGTATATTTTTGACAGGAACAGTCGTTCCCACAGATGGGGCCAACTAATGATGTCCTTAACAACTGATGAGCGATGATAGGAATGTAAGTCGCACTAAACAGTTGTATGTAGCTCAGTCTGAACTCCAAGACCAGATGGAATAGGATTTGAGGATAAGTGGCTAATCACACTAAGTGTTTATAGTGGTTCATTAGTTCGGGAGCTCGGCTAATCCACTCTCAAAGGAATCTCTTGCTCCTGAATATATATATTGATTGTTATATAGTATACAGAGAGTATTTTAATAATGCTACAGTGGCTTGTGTTATTTTTGAGGGCTCTGTCTCTTATTTATAGTTATTCCTGGGTCTAGCTAGATCAGGGGCGAGATCCCTGCCTTTCCCTTGTAACGATTGCCTTGATTGCGCTATAGCTGTAGTGGATGTTGGGGTGGTTACGAGATTTGTGCCTGCTGCGCAATTGTCGCCACAAAGAAGGGTACTTGGTGGGATCCAGCTGTCCTTTACATAGCCTTTCTCGACACGTAGACACAAGGAGCTAAGGTCTGAGGTCGAGGTCTATAAATAATATAGATGAGCTGAACTCCTGATTTGAGTGGTATGACCTAAGTTGCCAATCTCATCTTTAGGTATTTTTTAGGTATTATCATTGTCCCTAATTCATTTTTCGTAAATTAGTGACTCGAAACGTAGTAACAAATGAATAGACAAAACAAATGATAATGCTAACACTTGGAATAAACGTAAGTGAAAAGGGATATTCAAATTAAGAGTAGAGCCCCGTATATATATCCAAAAATAATACAGAGTGACTTAAACATCCTTGTAGTTTAGGCAAATATAAAAATCTTAGTAAGGGTAAAAAAGGGAAAAGAAATCCTAATAAACCTATACTATCTATACTCCAACACTCCCCCTCAAGCTAGGCGCAAAAATATCAACTAAGACAAGCTTGACAACAGAGTCCCGAAGAATAGACAGAGTGACATGTTTGGTAAAAACATCCGCAACTTGATCACTGGTCCCCACAAATGATGGAGTAACAAGACCACTGCTGACCTTCTCTCGAAGAAAGTGAACATCGATCTCTATATGCTTCGTTCTCTTATGTAGTACAGAGTCAGAAGTGAGCTGAATAGCAGATTGATTATCACAATATAATGTGGATGGAGAGGTCACTGAAAAACCCAACTCGTCAAGAATCGATCGTAGCCAGATAATCTCACATGTGCCAAGTGCCAAGTGCCAATGCCCAATACTCTGCCTCTGCGGACGAGCGGGAGACAACTGCCTGCTTCTTGCTCTTCCAAGAGATAAAATGAGTCCCTCGAAAAGCACAGAAACCCGTAGTAGATCGACCATCACATGTTCCCCCATAATCTGAATCTGAATCTGAATAACAGGCTAGAGAACCGGTCTGAGATCCTGATGCATAAAACAACCCAAGTCCAGGACAAGACTTGAGGTACCGAAGAATATGATAAACTGCATCAAGATGAGGCTGACATGGCCTATGCATGAACTGACTAACTCGGCTGACTGCGAATGAAATGTCCGGCCTAGTATTGGCTAAGTAGATAAGTCTACCTACCAATCTTTGATAAACTGTCGGATCTTTCAACTCCTCACCTTCAGCAGTAAGCTTCAGGTTTGAAATCATTGGTGATAATGCCGGTTTGCACCCCAACATCCCAGTGTCTGAAAGAAGATCCAAAACATACTTTCTCTGAAAAAGAACAATACCTCTGCTTCTACGGGCAACCTCAATCCCAAGAAAGTATCGCAGAAATCCAAGATCCTTCACATCGAAGGCCTTCCCAAGGTCTATCTTGACCTGCGCAGTCCCAGAAACATCATCACCAGTAATAATAATATCATCAACATATACCAGAAGGATGACACACCGTCCAGAAGTATTCCGTCGAATAAAGCAGGTATGATCAAAATGACACCTGGTGAACCCCAATCGTATGACTACATCACTGAAGCGAGAGAACCAGGCTCGTGGCGACTGTTTCAGTCCATAAAGAGACTTACGCAGTCGACATACCTTTCCAGCATACTCCCCCTCACCACGAAAGCCCGGTGGTGCATCCATATAAATAATCTCGTCCAGATCATCGTGAAGAAATGCATTCTTCACATCTAATTGATGAAGAGGCAGTCGGTGGATTTGGTTTCAGTCGGTGGATGGACAGTCACGCATGGGGTTGGTGGACAGGTAGTGGGTTGCTGGTTTCGCTGGTTTTGGTTCTGGTTTTGATTTCAGTCGGTGGAGACAGGCTGGTTAGTTGGTTTGTGGTTGCTGGTTTTACTGTGTAGGCAATCGGTGCTTTATGGAGGCAGTCGGTGCAGTGGGTGAGACAAGTGGGTTTGCGGCTAGGGGCTGGAAGGCAGTGGGTTGCTAGGTTTGCTTGAAGGCAGTTTGCCGGTGAGACAATCTCGGTGGAGGCTAGGTTAGGGAGAAGGTTAGGGTTTGAGGTAGGGTTAGTGTATGACTCTGATACCAACTTGGAATAAACGTAAGTGAAAAGAGATACTCAAATTAAGAGTAGAGCCCCGTATATATATCCAAAAATAATACAGAGTGACTTAAACATCCTTGTAGTTTAGGCAAATATAAAAATCTTAGTAAGAGTTAAAAAGGGAAAAGAAATCCTAATAAACCTAGACTATCTATACTCCAACACTAACCTAAAAGTGTTTATACCTTTTTAAAAATATTAATTTCTCAATAAGAATAAAAGCAATTATTTTGAAATATCTTTTAGAATTGATCAATTATATATGATTATTAAGGTTTGAAATAATATCGGTGTGTTTCACTTTAATATTTGACTGAGTTGAAATGTGTAGTAAAAATATTATCATTTTCGTTTGTTCATATTGAATTAATTTTTATTTTAATTTTCATTATGTAATTAAGTTTTTGATCTTAACATTTTTCTCATAATTGAACTAAGAATTTTTTTTTTTTGTGAGTGAAATATGCACCTAATTTAGTCATTATTAATGGAGATGCGGAATTTTTTTTTAATACAAACTGATTATATTTTTTATTTATGATTTTGCCTCCAATAGGATAAAATCTTCGCCCCACCTTTTTTATTCTATTATTTTCATTATCAATGATTAAAAACAGTGCACATTAGGATCTATAACTTGATAGACAAAATAGTGCACATTAAGATCCACAACTTGAGAGTCATTTTTCGGTATAATAGTGAAAAGTTAATTCTACAATAGTTGAACACTTACAAATTTTTTGTTCTTTTCTAAAGAAGGTTTTTCATCCATTTTCTCAATGAGATTTTTAGTTATCATCTTCCTTCTTCATTATGTTACTAGGGATAATTCGTGTGTGAATGTACGGTGTAACATGAACGAATTTGAGAGGAATATTGGTGGTCATGAAATGAGTCTATTTGAGACCGTTGAATAAACTTATTGAAGTCTATAAGAGAAAGAAAGTAATATTATGTTAGGGTAGTAATGTCATTTGACACTTTCTATTACATTTTGTTAAAGACAAAAACTGACAAGGGTGACAATAATATTTTTAAAATTATAAGGGTGCCTTTGTAATTAGGACATTTTTCAAGGGGTGTCAATAAAATTTACCCTTATCTTCGTGAATGTGTGGCCAATATGGCCATGCTGCTTTTCCATCCGCTTTTAAACTTCCAAAAGACCTTAAAAGTCAAGTTTGTGCCAGAGTTCATCAAAGCCCAAGGAAGGATTGTCTGGCCTTCGGTGTTGTTCTTCCTCAGTACTTCAGAGAAGAAAGAGAGAGGTATGTTAGAAAATCCATCTTCACCTTGTTTATTACATGATCTTAGGATCATAGAATACATGAACCATTCTTAATCACTGATCTCTTGTTACTATCTCTATGTCTATACATTTCCATTGTATATCAAAATCTTTTTTTTTTTTCTGGGGTGAGTGTTGATTTGATGTTATGTTTAGGGGATAGTAGAAATATTTTAATAAAAAAATTAACTAGATCTACAATGACAGTTTCGCACCAAAAGGGCAGTCTTATGTAATTGCTATGATGGTTAAACATGATATTGACTGGTTGCTTATCTTTCTGTAGTTTTCAGATATTGTTTCATCATAACTTTCTCATCAGACATGGCTGGAGAAGCTTTGATTTCTTCCATTCTTAGTAAGCTTGTAGATTTCACGTTGCAGCCAATTGCACGTCAGTTCGGCTATCTTATTCATCACAAGAAGAACATTGGCGAACTTAAAAAAAAAGTTGAAGAATTAGAGAGCCTGAGAAAAAGGGTACAGGATTCCATTGATGTGGCAACAAGGAATGGAGAGGTAATTCGAGATGATGTAAAGCTTTGGACAGCAAAAGTCGATGAATTTTTGCTGGCAGCAACAAAGTTCTTGGAAAACGATGTCAATATGAACAAGAGATGCGTCAGTTGGTGGTGTCCCAGTTTGATCATTCTGTACCGACTAGGTAAAGAAGCTAAAAAGAGGACACCGGAGGTCACAAATCTACAACAAAACGGCATGTTCAATACTATATCCAACCCTGCACCTCTCTCAGGGATATTGTCCATGTCCTCTGGAAGTTTTGTTGCCTTTGGAACAAGAAAAAGTGATATGATGAAGGTCATGGGGGCATTGAATGAAGCCAACGTCCACCTAATAGCGATACATGGCATGGGGGGTGTGGGTAAGACCACATTAGTCAAGGAAATTGGCAAAAAAGCCAAAGAAGAAAAACTTTTTGATGAAGTTGTAATGGCCGTGGTATCTCAGAACATAGACATAATGAAAATGCAAGACCAAATAGCAGACATGTTGGGTCTGCAATTTACCCAGCGAAGTGTTCCTGGAAGAGCAAGTCAGTTACGCGATAGACTGAGAAATGTGAATAAGAAGTTGATAATCTTGGACGACGTCTGGGATGGATTTAATGTGGAGGACATAGGCATTCCATTTGGCAATGATGATCATAAAGTTTGCAAAGTTCTTATCACAACCCGACGCAGGGAAGTATGCAATTCCCCTGCCATGGGAATGGGAAACCAATTAGAAAAAATCATTACTCTTAATGTCTTATCTGTAGAAGAATCTTGGGACTTGTTTAAGATGAATGCTGGTGAGGCTGTTGACTCCCCAAGATTGACCATGGTGGCAAAGGATGTTGCCAACGAATGTCGAGGTTTGCCTATAGCACTTGTTACGGTTGGAAGGGCAATGAGAGGGAAAGTTGATTCTGAAGAATGGAAAGAGGCAGTTCTAGAACTTAGAATATCAGCACCAGCAAACATTGATGGTGTTGACGAAAACGTGTTCAAAAGTCTCAAGCTGAGCTATAATTACCTACGAAATGAAGAAGTCAAGTCTTGCTTCTTGCTTTGTTCTCTATTTCCTGAGGATGACAATATATGGATAGAAGATTTGGTACGTTATGGAATAGGATTGCGGATATTTAAGGATGTTGATAACGTGCAAGAAGCTAGACGCAGGGCAAAAGTCGTGGTCAATAGGCTCATAGATTCGTGTTTGTTATTACAAGGCCATAAAGAGGAGTTTGTCAAATTGCATGATGTTGTGCGCGATGTTGCCATATGGATTGGATCTGAAAAGTATTTTGTAAGAGCTGGTCAAAATTTGAAGGAGTGGCCAAATGTTGAAAGACATTACACTGGCATTTCACTGATGTGGAATGACATTGATAGCCTCCCCCCTGTCTGGAAGAGCCCAAACCTCCAGATGTTGCTTTTGCAAAAGAATCTCCAATTACTTTGGCCAACTGAATTCTTTAGTGGGTTGGAAGCACTTAAAGTGTTGGATCTAAGTCATACTAGAGTTAATCTTTCTAAGGTTCTTGGCATTAATCACCTAGCAGGTCTACGGACATTGGTCCTAGACGATATGACCGTGCTTGTGGACACTAAATTTCTTGGACATATGAAGACTCTTGAAGTTCTTAGCCTAAAAAATTCTGTTTTGCCTAGTCCACCATTGGAACTTAGGGAATTGAGCAAGCTGAGGTTACTGGATATGAGTGCTACTCGGCACAATTCACTCATTCCAGCGGATGTGATGTTAGGTCTATCCCGATTGGAAGAGTTGTATATGTTTAACACCTTCATCAATGAGGAACCTAAACCTGCAGTTGAAGTAGCTGTAGTAAACTCTTTCCCTCACCTATCTGCCCTAGAGATTTCAATAACGGATTCTAGAATTTTGCCCCAGGACTTCATATTCCCTGATGTGAAAAATTTCAGAATTAAAATGGGTAATGGTGGTGGATTTGGCAACACAGAATGTTTGGGGCTCTTTGATTTGGACGCAAATATGCCTTGGTGGAAAAGGAGCTTGAAGAACCTATTGAAGAGAAGTTACCTGAACTCAGATAATATAATAAACATGAAGAACATTTTTCCATATTTTTTCTTTGATGGAGATGTTTTGAACCTCGCAGAGTTTCTAGTGGTTCATAAATGCAGAGAGTTTGAGTACTTGATCAATAGAGATGAGGAAATGGCGACAGCAATTCCATTACATGAGGAGCGACATCTGCTGCAACTACTCCCTAACCTTGAACAACTGGAACTTTCTTATTTGGATACCTTAAAAGGGATATGTCATGGTGCAATACCTTCCAGCTGGGAGATCATGCCCAAACTGAAAGTCTTGAATGTTTGGTATTGTCCTCAAATGTCTGGTTTTCATTTCAATTTGCTTCAAAGGCTACAATTTCTTGAAGAACTTGTGTTATTGGGTTGTTCTGCGTTACAGCATGTGTTTGAGGGCCAAAGTGATGATGGGCATGTTGCCGTGGATGAAGGAAATGAGCCGAGTCTGCGTGAGATATGTCTAATAGGCTTGCCTAGTTTGAATCAAATATGCAACTGCCGGGGTCGAATCGTACACCTCCACAATCTGAGACATCTCGACATTAGAAAATGTAGGAGGTTGAAAAATCTCTTCCAATCTTCCGTTGCCCAAACTCTTCAGAAACTGGAGATACTGAAGGTATATGAATGTGAAGAAATAGAGGAAATTGTTGCAGCAGAGAGCGAAGAGCAGAAAGTGGCGGAGAAGATTGTATTTCCTTGTCTCAAAATTCTAAAACTCAGAGATCTTACCAACCTCAAATGTTTCTGCATGGGAGGCATTCATTTTGAATGGCCGTCATTGGACAGATTATATGTTGAAAGGTGTGCAATATTGGTACGTACCCCCCCTCCCCCTTCTCTCTCTCTCTCTCTGTGTAGGAGGTTTCAATTCTATTTTTTCTTTTGGCTTATAGGAATATTATTCAAAGGAAAATGTTATTTGGACCTAATTTGGGGACTTAATCTAAGGACCTAATTCAATAGAACCATTGGATTGGTTGTGAGCTCCATCTAATATTACAATTTACAACTAATCTAATGGTTGCATTGATGCTATATCATTTGGTCCCCAAATTAAATTCTCAAATAAGGTCCCTGCATTGCTTTTATTCAAAATCACGAGTATTTCTTTTTCAATTATATTAATTTAGACTTCAAAAATTGACCTAATTGACACTTAATGATGTATCAAGTGATAGAATTCAAATGAAAGAAGTCAAATAATTATATTAATAACAATTTTATTAGATCATGCCACTACCACATGTCATCACATGAATGCCACATCAATGAGTTTGCAGCGTAAGTGGACATATCTTTTGGTAATATCACTTGAGGTTTGTAAGGTGTAGTTGTTGATTTGCAGATATTTTATTTGGATGTTTCGTTGTGTCGTCAAATGTCAAGTCTTGGTTTTCATATCAATTTGCTTCAAAGGCTACAATTTCTTGAAAAACTTGAGTTATTGGATTCTTCTACTTTACAGCATGTGTTTGAGGGCCAAAGTGGTGATGGGCTTCTTGTCTTGGATGAAGGAAATGAGCTGAGTCTGCGTGAGATATCGCTAATAGACTTGCCTAGTTTGAATCAAATATGCAACTGCCCGGGTCGAATCGTACACCTCCACAACCTGAGACATCTCGACATTATAAAATGTAGGAGGTTGAAAAATCTCTTCCAATCTTCCGTTGCCCAAACTCTTCAGAAACTGGAGATACTGAAGGTATATGATTGTGAAGAAATAGAGGAAATTATTGCAGTAGAGAGCGAAGAGCAGAAAGTAGCGGAGAAGATTGTATTTCCTTGTCTCAAAATTCTAGAACTCAGAGATCTTACCAACCTCAAATGTTTCTGCATGGGAGGCATTCATTTTGAATGGCCGTCATTGAACAGATTATATGTTAGAAGGTGTCCAAATATGAAGACTTTTGTTGCAGCTGCTGCTACTAATAGGACTCAAAGCAATCCAAAACTGAAGAAAATTATTGTGGATGGTAATGTGAGTGTGGCAGAAGAGGGAGAGTCAGTAGACTTGAATATAGTTATTCAAAGAGCAATGCTATATGGACTTAAAAAATAGATTTAAAAATTAAACTTGATAATTTCAACCATTGATTTCACTGTAGGTCTCAGTATTTATTGGGACCCACTACTTATTCAATTGTTGAGATTATCAAATCTAATTTTTTAAGTCTATGTAGCATTCCTTTTACAAAACCACGTCAAATTACAGGTACGGATCTTCTCCCCCCCCCCTTCTCTCTCTCTCTCTCTGTTTAGGAGGTTTCAATTCCATTTTTTCTTTTTGGCTTATAGGAATATTATTCAAAACCAAGAGTATTTAATTTTTAATTATATTAATTTGGACTTAAAAAATTGCCCTAATTTAGTGACTCAATAGTTGTTTGTATGGTTTAGTTGTTGATTTGTATATTGTTAATTTCGATCAAGTTTAATCCTACACCATCAAAGATAATGGGATTTGATGAATTTGATGGTGAATAATTGAATTGATCGAATTGAAAGAATTTTAAATTGAGAGGATCCAAACCCCTAGTGATCCTACTTATGGGACAACACTTTTTTCTTGTCTTTTCTTTAAACTATTTCTTATAGTACTTGATTTAATGGTGCAGTAATTCCAGCACTAGATGAAGGTTGTGCTATACTCAACTTTGTGGTTCATTATTGAGGTTGCTATTACGAATAATCTCCCTACAAGCTAAACACATGAAGAGGGGTGTCATGCAAAGATTGTCTGCTTGCGATTTTTCTGTTTTTTCTTCTTCTTTTTCTCCTCCTCTTCGTCCTTTGGACAAGAGGAAGTAGTATCGGCTTGTAAAATTTGTTCGTACAATTAACTTGATGTGTACTTGTTCTATAAATATTTTATAAGGACTGAATGTCCAGGTGTTGCTTGTGATTGATTTCCTTTATCCTACAAGTCTGACTGATCAGTTCTGTGAATGGTGCCTTAGTCTTCTTCTTGGAATACTTTTCTATAATCAGAAAAATGGGGAACGCCGACATTTAATTAGTGGCAATTGGGTCTAATGACACTACTCCCAAAGTTTAAAATAAGGGATTAAATTTTTGAACAATGTTACATGGATTTAAAAAATAGACATAAAAATTAGATTTGATAATTATAATTATTAATTTAATTGTAGGTCTCAATTTATTGAGATCTACTACTTATTTAATGATTGAAATTATCAACTATAATTTTTAAATTTATAAAGCATTACACTAAATTTTATACAGACTAGTCGTAAATTCCATTGTTTAAAATCAACTTATCAATGCCTGACAACTCAGCTGATTCTGTCTTCCACCTCTCTTGATGTGGTCTACTTCTACGCATCCCTTACAGTCACCCACCTTCGGCACACCACACCACACCACACTACACTGCATTCAATGAAACAAAGATCATATTGTATTTGCCTGGGTGCATGACAGAATTGTTGATTCAAAATTTTAGTTGTTTCTGGGTGCTTTGTTCAACCGTCAATGGTGGGCTTGGTACAAAAATAGAGTTTCTTCTAAGTGTGAGTTTCTTCGAAGTTGTTTTTGGTTGCTCTGTCCCAGCGTTTACCTTTCTCGACATCGGAATAGTTGGTGGTAAACCAAAATGCCATTAATTCTATTTTTCGGTGTTTATAAAGGCTTTTGCTAACGTTTATAAACTTCGGTGATTTCAAATTTTTTTGTAGTGACCAATTTTTTTTAACTAATTAAAATATGACACATAAAATCCTTATTTCATTTTATTATTTTTACTATCGATGATTACAAACAACCTAAAATGAGAACAACAATTTGAAAATTATTCTGTAGTATCATAAATCAAACAATTAATGCTGGTCTTGTATTCTTTTCTTATGGAGCTTTTTCATTCCCACGTTTCTCTTTTGTGATGTTATGTCACGTAGCCTTCAAGATTATGTCACATTTTGTTGTTTCATAATATGTAATTGGCTTCGCACTAATGGAAGTACTATTCCAATTACGTGTCATTTTTATCTGTCAGTTAAAGAAAATAAGAGGGAATAAAGGAAAATGTCCTACATGTGATTGTGCAGCTTCCCTTTTGTTGGGTAATGTACATTTGATTGCAAATTATTTGTCCTTGTTAAGGCCGCTTTTAAAACATTAGCACTATATAATTAAAAATTATACAGTTTTTCATAACTCTTATAATTGATTGAAATTAAGTGTGTTCTACAGTTTATTTTTTTCATCTCCTAAAGTTAAGTTTTTTGGAAAATGTTTTCAAAATAAAGACAAAAAATTATATCTAGAAAATATTCAAAGATTGGTTGAAACATGACAAAATATCATAAAATACTTCAAAACATATCAAAACACTTTTAGACACCTCAAAATATTCAATCGTTGAGTCATTTCAGTTTTTATAGAAATTGAAATGTTACAATCTTTCAGTGGAAACAAGAAAAGTTTGATTGTTCATTTGAATGTTACTTAGATCCATAAATCTAGCAAAAATAACTTAAATTGTTCCTTTTTATATTTGACATGTTTTGCATAGAGGTATATGCATCTAAATGAAATTTGTAGATATGGTAATGCTCCTACTTTAACAGATTTTGCATATCAATGAGTGCTTTCCATCCATCATTGTAAATTCTTGACTTAAAGTATCGTTAATGGCTTCTCTCTTGTTACTATGTCCATAATTCAATGTTATTTAATGTCTTCATGAGCTAAGTGGAAGTGTGCATTTGGATGGTTTAAAATAAAAGGCAAAATTTATTTTATCCCTTTTATATGGTTTAGATCTTAATGCACATCACCCATCTCCCATGTAATAATATCCACATAACTCGTATAGTTTGTGAACTAAAACGCACTGTTAAATATCGTTAACGATAAAATTAATTGATAGTTGATCTGTGGTCGTGTAATTTGTTGAAGGAATGAAAAAGGCAAAGAGCGTACCACTTTCTATCCAAATATATTTGTTTACATGGCAATTATTGCATTAAAATGGGAATTAATTTCACAATAGGATTAGTTTGGAATTATTTCTAAAATGAGCAAAAACCCTAAACTTTTCATAACATTAGAAGTTTAATACATAGAATCAGTTGATAATCACCTTTCTAAAATATTAGAGGTTGTATTCAACTCATACACTTATGATAAAATATCAAAAGCTATCGAAATTTATTAAATCTTACATTTTTTGAGAGTCTGTAGCGCAGTACTCATTCATATATACTTCACCTCTTATTTAAGTTCAACAAAAAAAAAAACGAGTGTCTCAGTTCAATAAATGATGCTATTTGATAATTTGATATAATGTTTGTAATTTTCTTTGGTAATTTCTGTGAAAAAGTTTTAGAGTTAAGAACTAATGCCATTTTTAACACAATCCGAACCCAACATAAAATTAGTAGGTTGGTATACACTAATTTTAAATAAGAACTCGAAAATAATATGACCTGATGAGCCCAAATCTAACTGGGTTAGACCCAATTAATTAAGCCCAAAATAGTTACAAGGCAAGTCAAGTCTAGTTTGTGGATGCGGCCTAGTCCAAGATTCAAGAGACCTAAGAAGCCAACACATGTGAGGAGTAATTACCGGGATAACTACTGCTCGAAGATCAAGATCATCTTTAAGTGTACCTATCTTTAGCTGTACCTATCCTCTCCGAATGACTAGTGACCTATCCCTCACGTTATCGCTTCAACCAAGGTTATGTGCTTATAAATTATAAACTTTCTTCACATGAGAGAGACGTCTCTCTATCTCTACACACTCTCTACACGGTTATCTCTCTCAGCTCTAAGCTTACCATTTCTCTCTCTCTCTCTTACTCCTACTTTATTAAAAAAGTTCTTCGGTCACTGTTGCCGCCTTCGGAGTGAAATATGTCACCTTAACTGAGCCACTATAAATCTGTATGTTAACCTAATCTTTGTCTCATTTATTAATTACTTTATTGATTGCTTCTTTAATTATTGAGCATAATCATACACTCGACTTGTATGTTGTCTTAGTGAGTAGTAGATTAGGCTTTGGTGAACCCTGAGCGGTTCCCCATGGTTTTTCCTGAGAAAGATTTTTACATCAATAAATCACTTGTGTTATTTGTTGTTTATTGTATACACTTGTGATTGGTTACACACACATGCACAATGTGCTTCTTAAAATGATTGTTTGAAATCTATTCAACCATAGTTTTGTAAATTGAGGTTGGGTTTTGGGATCGCTGTGAAATTAATTGTGAGTGAATTAATTCAAAATTAATTAATCAATCTTCATGATTAAATCGGTTTGTGGTGACTAAAAAGGTTCTCACATTAATTTCTTATCTTTGTGTCACGAGGTAATTATGGTAGTTTAGGTTTTTATTGGTAATTAATTGGGTTAAAATTAAAAAACCTATTCACCCCTTTAAGTAAAGTGTCTATAGCTCCAGGTGTATAATCGTGAGGGAAGATAACGCTAGAAGGTGTGGACTCTGATATAGCTATGAAGAACCACTTCAATGCAAATGTACCTTCTCCCTCTATTTATTTTTGGTTCCGTTCTTAACAAAAGTAGAATTTCATGATACGAGAGTCATAAAATCCAATATAAGAAAAGAATATCCAATTTACCATATTTTTCTAAACCTCTAGTATTTTATTGTTACGGTAAAAATTCAATTTCTAACCATGAAATAGAGACTACTTCTGAACAGGTGATGGATGAATTCTACTTCCCGCAAATTGTCGAAGTAAAGTCCACTTCTAAGTTGGATTATTTGGAACTGTGGCATATAGAGGAAGAATTAAGGGAAATGCTACCTAAATTGGAGTCCTTGTAAATACCATTGTTTTGTAAAGATCAAGAATGCGTCTACAAGATAAGTGGACAAAATGTGGTACGTTTCTATTTCATATTGTGTACATAATGAGCTAATTGTAAGGTTTTATGGGCTTGACATAGAATTGAATAAGATAAGTAGGCCTGTAATAGGCCTATATAGGTGTAGAAATTTGATTGTGTTTTTGTTTGATTTAGGAAGACAAAAACCAAATTGCCAATAATTACTAACATTGTCATTGCATCATTGTTTAATCACATTTGAATTGAAGCTGCAGATGGTCATTACTAGAAGAAGGCTGACCCATACGTCAAAAGTTGTTGCTATCTCCCTATGCACTAAAGAAATGAAGAGCGGATCAAATCATACAAGGGACTACTTGATGCTTTCGATAATCGGATTTCTAAGTAAATAGTTTGGTTTTATGTAGCCAACAGCATCACTTTGGCATTCTTGTGACAAATTTATTGTTAAATGTATGTTGATTTGGAACGAACGATCTAGTTTGATACCATATTCAAAGTTGCTATAAAATAAAGTTAAAATTATAGTTCAATCAGTATGAATCAAGTTACAATATTTAAAGGTTAAATTATCACTAAAAACTACAAGGATTGATCCTAAATTTCAAAGATTGGTTTGAAACGATTTCAGTTGTCATAATCTCTCAAAATTGAGCCCACCCATATGTTTTATGCTGTACAAACTTCAAGAACACTTAGAACAGTTTATCCTTATCTAAGATCTGATTTATTTAACGTGATGTATAAAGTTTCAATGAGAATCCATCAAACATTCTCTCCTCTCAGCCTCTAAATCACAATTAGGCCTGCCTAAGGAGTTTGCACTATTTCACTCAACATGTGTATTGATGCCATACTCATTACAATATAGTGGATTATACTATGCTATACTCAACATGTGCACTTCTGATAGCAAGGATCTAACTGCTATATCGTAGGAGGTATCATAATGAAAATTATAATTGATTGAGTCAGTAGGATTAACCGAGTAACTACCTTCCAATAGTATAGCGTGCGAAATTTCAAACATTGTTCATGAAAGACTAACAGACACCTAATATTTTCAGACCATTGAATTAATAATTCACTTTATTACCTACTTTTACTCATAGTAAATCTAGTGGTTAAAATATATTAGGTCTCTAAATTAATTAGGTCCTAATGCAGTTAAGGGTTTATTCTGTAGTAGTAATATTAAAAATTGCTTTTTAAATTATAATTTTTTTAAACCATTAAAACAAGACACTTGGTATGTCGTCTGTTTTGTTTTTCATCTTTTTCTCATGGAGCTTTTTAGTTCTCATGCCTTCCTTTTTCATTATGTTGTGTCACAATAATACTATCGTACATTCTATTTTTTGGTATCATATCGAAAATTTAAAGGACATCGCAAAATTTGTAATTTCACTACAAAGAGTATCACAAAAGATGGTAACATCACCCAAAAAATGGTAACACCACCCTAAATCTAGTTAATTCTTTCTCAAAATGTGATAACTTCACTTGTTTTATTATGCCAAAAACAGTAGTAATATCAACCCAAAAAATGGTAACACCACCCTAAATCTTGGTAAGTCCTTCTCAAAATGTGATAACTTCACTTTAAAAGGTTATAATTGTGCCAAAACAGTAGTAATATCAACCCAAAATGTAATTCTTATTTTATTATTGCTATACTTTCCATTACATTTTGTTAAAGACAAAAACTGACAAGGGCTGACAATAATATTTTAAAAATTATAAGGGTGTCTCTGTAATTAGGAAATTTGTCCAGGGGTGTCAATAAAATTTACCCTCACCTTTACTTTAATGAGGTTTTCATGGTATGTGGCCAATGTTGGCCATGCTGCTTTCCATCCGATTTAAAACTTCCAAAAGACCTTAAAAGTCAAGTTTTTGCCAAAGTTCATCAAGTCCATGGACGGACTGTTTTGCCTTCGGTGTTGATCTTCCTCGGTACTTTTGAGAAGAAAGAGAGAGGTATGTTAGAAAATCTATCTTCACCTTGTTTATTACATGATCTTAGTATCATAGAAGAGTAATGTTATATGAACTTAAAAAGTAGATTTAAAAATCAGACTTGATAATCTCAACTATTGATTTTACTGTGGATCCCAGCATTTATTGATACCCTTTACCTATTCAATGGTTGAGATTATCAAATCTAATTTTTAAGTCTACTTTTTAAATCTATGTAGCATTTACTCTAGAAAAGAATACATGAACCATTCTTAATCACTGCTCTCTTGTTACCATCCATGTCTATAATTCAGTGGTATTTAGTGTTTGTCGTACCTAAAGGAAGAGTGGATATGGATGGTGATTGTGTAGGAGCTAATTGACTCTAAACTAAATGACCAATATAGTTATCTCTATGTCTATAAATTTCGATTATATGTAGAATTATTATTATTTTTTTTTTCTGGGGTGAGTGTTGATTTGCATAAAAATTATGGATGTATAATTAGTTATTCATGTATTCCAACTTTCATTGGACTAACTAATTACGAGAGTAATCCCAATAGACAAAAAAAAATCCAATTGTTCGATAAAGAAGGACATTACGGTAATGCTTGGATTAAAAAAATAAATTGTGGCTCTAATTTTATCACGGTTAGTGGGCATGCGATTAGCTTAAGAAATGATAAAGGCCAACGCTACTGCACATAACTCACCTGGAATATTAATTGGGTATATAGAAACTTTGATAAAAATAAATTAAAAAAAAGATATGTACTAGTTTCTAACATCGTTGTTGCTACTAAAAAAACAAAGGTTTCTTTTACTAACTCAGTAGTCCGTGGTATGTGTTTGTTTTTCACTTATAAGAACCAACTCTGCTGATATGAACCCGTAAAATTCATTAACTACTCATAAGGTGTAAAGTTTTTTTTCGCTATATTTAAGGTGTAAACTTATAGTAATCTAAAATGCACATTATGTTAAAAAGTGTATAATAATTCCAGAATACGAGGTCCTAATCCATCAATTTAAGGTAGAATTGTTGACTGGGCCATATTAGTTCACAACTATTATGGCACATATGTTTCCCAACAGTTATTTTAACAGCATGCTGGCATACATAATTTCTGTACAACAAAAAAAATAAATACCTTTATCTTTACAAGGATTGTTTTGCACCAAGTGTGAAATCTTATGATAATAAAAAAAATTAACTAAGTCTTTTTTTTTTTTTTGTTAAAACTAAGTCTACAAGGACTCTTTCGTATCAAGTGTGAAATCTTATGGTATTGCTATGATGGTTAAACATGATATTGACCGGTTGCTTTTCTTTCTGCACTTTACAGCTATTGTTTCATCATAACTTTCTCATTAGAAATGGCTGGAGAAGCTGTGATTTCTTCCATTCTTAGTAAGCTTGTAGATTTCACGTTGCAGCGAACATCACGTCAGTTTGGCTATCTTATTCATCACAAGAAGAAAATTGCCGAACTTAAAAACCAAGTTGAAGAAATAGAGAGCCTGAGAAAAGGGGTGCAGGATTCCATTGATGTGGCAACAAGGAATGGAGAGGTAATTCGAGATGATGTAAAGCTTTGGACAGCAAAAGTCGATGAATTTTTGCTGGCAGCGACGAAGTTCTTGGAAAACAATGTCAATATGAACAAGAGATGCTTCAATGGGTGGTGTCCCAATTTGATCACTCTGTACCGACTAGGTAAAGAAGCTAAAAAGAGAACACTGGAGGTCACAAAGCTACAACAAAATGGCAAGTTCAATACTATATCCAACCGTGCACCTCCCTCAGGGATATTGTCCATGTCCTCTGGAAGTTTTGTGACCTTTGAAACAAGAAAAATTGATATGATGAAGGTCATGAGGGCATTGAATGAAGCCAACGTCCACCTAATAGCGATACATGGCATGGGGGGTGTCGGTAAGACCACATTAGTCAAGGAAATTGGCAAAAAAGCTAAAGAAGATAAGCTTTTTGATGAAGTTGCAATGGCCGTGGTATCTCATAATATAGACGTAATGAAAATACAAGACCAAATAGCATACATGTTGGGTCTGCAATTTACCCAGCAAAGTGTTATTGGAAGAGTAGGACAGTTACACGATAGACTGAGAAATGTGAATAAGAAGTGGATAATCTTGGACGACGTCTGGGTTGGATTTAATGTGGCAGACATAGGCATTCCATTTGGCAATGATGATCATAAAGTTTGCAAAGTTCTGATCACAACACGACGCAGGGAAGTATGCAATTCCCCTGCCATGGGAATGGGAAACCAAGTAGCAACAATCATTCCTCTTAATGTCTTATCTGAAGAAGAATCTTGGGACTTGTTTAAGATGAATGCTGGTGAGGCTGTTGACTCCCCAAGATTGACCGTGGTGGCAAAGAATGTTGCCAACGAATGTCGAGGTTTGCCCATAGCACTTGTTACAGTTGGAAGGGCAATGAGAGACAAAGTTGAGGTTGAAGAATGGAAAGAGGCAGTTCTAGAACTTAGAAAATCAGCACCAGCAAACATTGAAGGTGTTGATGACAATGTGTTCAAAAGTCTCAAGCTGAGCTATAATTACCTACGAAATGAAGAAGTCAAGTCTTGCTTCTTGCTTTGTTCTCTATTTCCTGAGGATGACAATATATGGATAGAAGATTTGGTACGTTATGGAATAGGATTGCGGATATTTAAGGATGTTGATAACGTGCAAGAAGCTAAACTCAGGACAAAATTCATGGTCAATAGGCTCATAGATTCTTGTTTGTTATTGCACGGTGATATAGAGGAGTGCGTCAAATTGCATGATGCTGTGCGGGATGTTGCCATATGGATCGGATCAGGAAAGTATTTCGTAAGAGCTGGTCGAAATTTGGAGTGGCCAAATGTTGAAAGTTTGGGACATTACACTGGCATTTCACTGATGTGGAATGACATTGATAGCCTCCCCCCTGTCTGGAAGAGCCTAAACCTCCAGATTTTGCTTTTGCAAAAGAATCGCCAATTACTTTGCTCAACTGAATTCTTTAGTGGGTTGGAAGCACTTAAAGTGTTGGATCTAAGCTATACTAGAGGTAATCTATCTAAGGTTCTTGGCATTAATCACCTAGCAGGTCTACAGACATTGATCCTAGACGGTACGATTGTGCCCGTGGACACTAAATTTCTTGGACATATGAAGACTATTGAAGTTCTTAACCTTAAAAATTCTGTTTTGCCTAGTCCACCATTGGAGCTTCGGGAATTGAGCAAGCTGAGGTTACTGGATATGAGTTATACTTGGCACAGTTCACTCATTCCGGCTGAGGTGATGTTAGGTCTATCCCGATTGGAAGAGTTGTATCTGTTTAACACCTTCATCAATGAGGTACCTGAACCTGCAGTTGAAGTAGCTGTAGTAAACTCTTTGTCTCACCTATCTGCCCTAGAGATTTCAATAATGGATACTGAAATTTTGCCCCAGGACTTCATATTCCCTGATGTGGAAAATTTTAGAATTGAAATGGGTAATAATGGACTAAACATTACCCAAAAAATAATGGTTTGTGGCTCTCTGGTTTGGACGCAAATATGGCTTGGTGGAAAAGGAGCGTGAAGAACCTGTTGAAGAGAACAAGTTACCTGAAATCATCTGATATAAGTAACATGAAGAACATTTTTCCATACTTATTCTTTGATGGAGATGTTTTGAACCTCGCAGAGGTTCTAGTGGTTTGGAACTGCAGAGAGTTTGAGTGCTTGATCAATAGAGATGAGGAAATGGAGATAGCAATTCCATTACATGAGGAGGAGCGGAATCTGCTGCAATTGTTACCTAACCTTGAAGAATTGATACTTTTTGATTTGGATACCTTAAAAGGGATATGTCATGGTGCAATACCTTCCAGCTGGGAGATCATGACCAAACTAAAAGTCTTGGCTGTTTTGTCTTGTCCTCAAATGTCAAGTCTTGGTTTTCATATCAATTTGCTTCAAAGGCTACAATTTCTTGAAAGACTTGTGTTAAATAATTGTTATGCGTTACAGCTTGTGTTTGACGGCCAAAGTGGTGATGCACATGTTGCCGTGGATGAAGGAAATGAGCTGAGTCTGAATGACATATCTCTATCAAACTTGCCTAGTTTGAATCAAATATGCAACTGCCCGGGTCGAATCGTACACCTCCACAACCTGAGACGCCTCGAGATTGAAAAATGTAGGAGGTTGAAAAATCTCTTCCAATCTTCAGTTGCCCAAACTCTTCAGAAACTGGAGATACTGAAAGTATATGACTGTAAAGGAATAGAGGAAATTGTTGTAGCAGAGGGTGATAAGCAGAAAGTCGCGGAGAAGATTCTATTTCCTAGTCTCAAAATTCTGGAACTCACAGATCTTACCAACCTCAAATGTTTCTGCATGGGAGGCTTTCATTTTGAATGGCCGTCATTGGAAAGCTTATATGTTGAAGAGTGTCCAAATACGAAGACTTTTGTTGCAACTGCTGCTACTAATCGGACTCAAAGCAATCCAAAACTGAAGAATATTATTGTGGATGATTATGAGAGTTTGGTAGAAGAGGGAGAGTCGGTAGACTTGAACATAGTTATCCAAAACCACGTCAAAGCAGTGGTACGTACACCCTCCCCCTCTCTCTCTCTCTCTCTCTCTCTGTCTGTTTAGGAGGTTTCAATTCTATTTTTTTCTTTGACTTATAGGAATACTATTCAAAATCATGAGTATTTTTTTTCAATTATATTAATTTTATTTATTGACCTAACACATGATTAACAGTAGGTCTCAGCATTAATTTGAATCCACTAACAATTCAATAACTGTGAAACATTAGTTCAGTAATTAAAATCAACAAAATTATTTGCAAATAATATTTTCAATGGTAATATATATAGTTTGTATAAGTATGTTTAAATTCTACTTTTTCCTTGAGATGATAGGAATACCATTGACTCCGACTCCGACTCCAATTTAAAGGAAATAGCATTCATCGAGGCTTTAAAATTGGTACCTGGTTTCAATTTTATGCGTCTTCACCACGTAGCTGCAAAGATCAACGATGGCGATGGGTTTGCAAGGTAAGTGCAAATATCTTATGGTGATATCACTTACGGCTTTAATATCTTTGTTAGTTTCAAACATTTCAATTTTCCGTCTATATAATAAGGGAGTTAGAAATTTAAAATTTGAATATTCTCTACTATACCAAATCTATATTTACCAAGCCCATTTATGATAAGATAAACCCAACTAAGGTTATCTATCATAGCCTGTATATTACCAAGATTATTTCTATTGATGAATGGGGTTCTCACCCTTCTTTACTCAGAGAACTTCCCTATCATAGTAGACAGTTTAATTACTATGACTACATTGAGTCATGGTCCAAAATATTACTCTACCAGAATGAAGATTTGTCCCATTCCTGGTCCTTAATTTCCATAAAGATTTCAAAAGCCATATTCCTGCATGGTTTGCACAGTGGTGGCATCTACATGGCCCCATTGATGAAATCTTTCCAGCTGATCTTAAAGATCAGATTAATATCTTTTACTCCCTTTACCGTCCTAGTAAACAGGAGTCTCCATTACCTTTATTACTAATATTTTTATGCAGGTACAAAGTCCCGTGGATACTCAAATGGCATTGGGAAATTGTTGGATTCAACTTAACCCGACAATTCTATGCCAAATGGTGGCCCAGATTTCAGCATAGCGACACTATCGCAATGGTGAAACGAGACTTCCCAGTAAGGGTCCCAACTCCAGTAGTAGTTTCAGGCCCCTTACCACCAGCAACTCCGATAAAGGAACTGCCCGCTCATTCAAGTCAG